GCGGCGGAAAAGAAAAGGTTAGAAGCGTTCGAAATGTGGTGTTATAGGCGGATGATGAGGATAACGTGGGTAGAAAAGGTTAGAAATGAAGAGGTATTGGAAAGAATAGGAGAACAGAGGACTCTATGGAAGTCAATACAAAATAGGCGAGATAGGTTTGTAGGACACCTTCTCAGGCATGAAGGTCTAGTCAGAGACATAGTAGAGGCAGAAACAAGAGTTAAGAGGGGTAGAGGTAGACCTAGATTAGATTACTGTTCGCAAATAGTTAAGAATGTGGGCTGTTATGGTTTTAGGGAAAAGCGAAGTTTAGCTCAGGATAGGAAACAGTGGAGGTACGTGTCCAACCAGTTTTAGGACTGACGACCTTATGATGACGATGAGTAAAATCAACTGCGAAAACTGTTGTGGTATCAGTATTGATCACATGAACTGTATTACAAAACACAGAAAATTAAATTTTCCTCAAATGAGAGTTACCTTATGATAGTATTTTAATCAAAAGAAAGAGGAATTAAAATTAATTAACAATATAAGCAGTAGAATAAGGTAAATCCACAGTTGCACTGTTTTAGAGGTCCTCGTTGCTATTGTGTAGAATCGTAAAATGTATGCCACGAAAGTGCTGTTTAATTGCATTTCTCGACAGTAATGAGACCCTAGACGTTGGCACTTATTACGTTAATGAAATTTCTCATTGAACCTACAGGAATGCCTTCTAATGGTTTGCGTATCCATCCGGTTGCATGTTATTTTATGTGCCTGTATAGAAAGTAGTTCTGTGACGGTCTATTCTAATGCCTTTGCCAAAAGGACAAAGGATCATGTGTTCTCTTCAAACAAGTCCTCCACCGAGGCGCCTTTGTAAGGTTAATCAAGTTCCACAGCTCCTTATTATATTAGATATCGATTTATAGCAAAGCTAAATGAACCACTAAGTAGCTTTTCAACTGTAAGCATATTTTGTTAAAAGGAAGAGTTATGTTTCTCAGAAACAAGGTTGACGTAAAAGATCAGCTATTCGGTAATGTGGTAAAGAAAGTTCAACTGCTACACTGACGTAAATTTTACTTGGTTTATTTTGTACCAGTGAGTACAACTTATTACTACTAACAATAATAGAAAATTTAAAGCTTACCAAAGTATAAATTCCACTTGCGAAACTCCCCTTCCTTACGGACCTCCAACAACAACATGAATGGAGTATAGCCATTTTATTAAACACACTTATTATTGTCATTGACTTTTTAAAATATGATAAAATTTAATTTTGTCACACTGGAGACACTCATATTAAAATAGTTCTATTGTCTTTAATTTTTACGTTACACACCATATTTAATGAAAGTTCAGGAGTTCGTTTAGAAAATCTGAATAAACAAAATATAGGACTGAACGGATTTCCCCTATATTTTTTTTCTGATTTTATATCTACTTACGTAAATTTTCTCAAAAAATGCAAAGCCAAAGCAATTAAGAATACGTATGAGTCAAAGGTCAATAGGTTTAAAAGTAAAATTTCTTAAATGCATCGAAAATTTTCCAAATTCTTTTTCCTGTAAGGTAAGGATTTCTTTTCGTGTATAATCAGTTGTCAAATAATTGCCTGGTTATGTAGAAAATTATCAAATTTCCCAGATAGATAAATGAGACAAATGTATAGTACTTGGTAAAATTATGGATGTAGCTGCTAGTAATTAATATAGAGTGGATCGAACTTTATTAGTAGATCTAATACCACGTTCACCCTCTCACGCATTCCTTTGTAATCAAATTGGCAAATTAAACTTGACCAACGCAAACATGTGTTCAATAATCTGTTACTACATGTACTTAATGAACTTACTAACAAATTGATTAAGGTAAATGTGCTTCATAATATCAACCATGTATCTATGAATATTAAGTAGAGCATAACATTGCTTCAAACTTTCCACTCATAGAACTACTTTAAGAGTTAATTTAACTTTGTTTCTTTCATATACTGAAGCGAAATAAAGTTCGGGATAAAGTAGTCAAGTGCAGACTTTAATTTAACTTAACAATTAATTAAAATGATATATTAATGTCGAGCATTTACTCCACACTGTTGTAAAATCGGAATATTACATATAAAATTACCTTGTTCTCTGTATACAGAATTAATAAATGTATGGTTTTAATTTTAGGCGTTAGAATAATTTAGGGTAGATTGTTAGGGACGCGGAAAACGACTTATTTCGGATCAAATTTCTAAGAACTCTACATTTCCTTGGTTTCCAGTTAATTTTTGACTTCTTTTCCTGATTTTAATTTTTAGGCATATAAAGTAGGACGTTTTGAAAAGTTGCAGTACAAATAATCCAAATTTTTTGATATTGAGCTGCGATTGCTGCAATCAGACACTTAATTTTTTTTTCCATAAAGATTGTGTTTATAAAATTAGTGCACCATGTATATAGTACTGTGGGGATTCTCATGGATATCTAATTACATTTGCAGTTATAAGCATAACTTTTGCTCTAAAATTCTCTGTTATTTTCCTAATTTATCAGACAATATTCACCTCATTGGGGACAATCATGTATGTATGAGTAAAATGGCGAAAAATTGACTTAAGTGAAATATTAAGCCATGCTTTTTTTACTTAAAATTAATGAAAATCGACTGATTTATTTTTTAAGAGGCAGTGATGGATCATTAATTTCAAAGCTTTATTGAGCTTTCTTTTGTGCAAGCGTCTTTACACCACTAACCTTGACCATGAAGGGGGTGATATGAACTTATATACACGTACCCGGCACGGTCGCAGCAGTAAAAAGCAAAACTGTGTTGCGAGAGGGTAAGCGAGGGGTCGGTCGTATAAGGTGTGGCGTCGGCAACATTCCGTTCCGGAAAAGTAGTTACCGTGAAAATCACATTATTAGTTTACCGCAAGGTTCTCTTAATGACTTGATCTCTACATTAATCGGGGGCGGAAAATTCACGTAGGGCTAGAATGAATTTGTTTTGTCTTGTGTGATCGGTGTATAATACAGGCGAAACTGCCGTTTTATATGCGGTCATTAAATGTTAACGTTCGACAATTATATTTAGTTTGCGCGCTTTCTCATCGTCAAATTTAATCATTCGGTGGGGTTGACTATTGCACACGTAACATACACTTCCGCACCCTCACCAATTATGAAGACAATATCACACACTGGAATCGATTCGGCTGTTGTAAACCAACGGAATTTGCCCTATTTGAAATATCTTCGAGAGTAACTTCAGCATAATTACGCGAGGGATTTGGATTTTTATTACTTCTGGTCACGAGGGAGACACACACAGTTAATAGAATAAAATACAGTAGACAACCAAGAAGTATCTGTACCCACTTATGCTCACTGGTTGCTTCTATACGCCCACAATACTTCTTCTTCTTTACTTACTTTTGTTAGTTGAGTTAAAACTTTCAGATACTCATTTTACCAACATTGATTAATTTTACTGAAAATGAGATAGAGCTTGCACATAATTGCTAATGTTCATAGCCAAATATAGGAATGCCTTAAATCACTTTCTGGTTATAACCACGGCATTTTCTCGTTTACACACTGTTCTATGCATAACAATGAGACTACATTAACTTCGAGTGCAATTTAACTTCATAATGTACGTGCGATTCGGTCTGAAATATTATTATCGTACATGGGTGTAGGACTTCATCTGTGTAGGCATTCAATTACCTACTCTGAATGGAGTGCGGTTTGCCGCTAAGAACAGGACTAATTAAGCAATACATTATCTAGGGTTTGTCGACGTAATTGTCAAATATTTGCCGTAAAGCATTTACATCCAATAGGGACCCTTGAGCCGAACCTAACCGTACTACCCTATTATTTACGTAAAAGTCCTTTCACTTTATAAGTAGAATAAACAACGTCCGAGTAGAAATTGTGCATTTTTTAAACTTACTTTCATGTAATTATGCAGAGCAATTCATCCGGATTAAGTGTGACTGACTGACTGACTAACCGAGTCCAAATTCTCTAAAGCTTTACACTTCAGGTCCGGGTTCAATCAAAATTGTCCATTCGGGACTCCATTTGGAGTCAGATGTTCCCGATAAGATTCATATCGCGGCTTTAACAAATTTTGCTGTTGGGATAGGAATACCTACTTTGGAACTTCTTTCAGGTCGATGGATCTTAACAGTCCATTTTTATTACTTCTTGGCACCTTTTTCGTTTCCGACACTTTTTATATTTTTGTCATGTAGAGGAGTAACAATCAGCAAACAAAATTCTTATATGAAAGTATAAAAAAGAAGGGCAGAGGCCGAAAAACGGATGAAGAAAAAGTTATATTAGCCGAAAGAAATATACGACTGTAGGTAATACGATTATAAGTGCTTTAGTGATTTTCTTCCCTTATTCCATAACGAAAGTTATCCTACCCAAATCCTTCTCGTTCGAATTTGTGTAATCCTCCTGGTACGGTCTACAGGTCTCCACCAACGGTATACACGCCTTCGTACTTTATACACACATGCTAAGTTTCTAGAGTTTGTATGACCGACTCGTAAGCTAAGGATTAACTTAATTCGCTCAAGTGTTAAAAAGGTTTATTTTATTTAAATAGCTACTCGTCTAACAAGTAAAACTGCAAATTTCACAAAGATAAATAAACATTTAAAACACTTGCTTTGGTTTCCGAAATACGTTAGAAAATTCTCTGACAAATGTTCTGGTATTAGTAACACTATTTTCAAAGAGTTTTAAGTCTTCAGTTTCAATTACTACCGTGAAGTATTTTGCTACATATTATATTGACGCAAACTGTTGCTCGAAAGGCGGTTATTGTAAACTTCCGCAAACTTCCCATTTATGTTCATTCGTAGAAAGCAATTGGATTAATAGGTACAAAAACTATATTAATTCAAAATAAAATCATCGTTAGTTTAAACCAAATAAGTAGTTATATCTAATGGATTCCGGCCGTGAAAGCCTTTGTTCTTGTAGTTATATCTAATAATAATAACGCAGTTTACAAAATATATATTATTGTTTCAGAACACTACAGCCGATTTTGTCTTGACCTATTGACCTTTTGAAAATGAATATGTAACTATTACTATAATTATTGTAGTAAAAGAATAATAGTGAAACAAACTGTGTCCTTCCCATAGTACAATAGTTTGGTTCAGGCTACTTACAGGGTCGCATAGTCGTATATTTTTGTTTATGACTTAGCAAGTAGGTAACACTCCATTAACTATACATGTAAACAAATTGCACTACGATGAAACTACAATAGCAATAACAACAAAAAAGAAGGAGACAGAAGGTAGTGTTTACATAAAACACATTTGATTACATTACGTTCGATTTAACTAATTAGATTTTCGATAATATTGTCTTTAAAACACGTGGTTGAATTCGGATCGGGGAAAATCGCGATGCAAGCTACGGAAAAGAGGGAAGCACACTGACAACAGTTTTCCGTCTACCGCGTCGGGACGCCCGGCGTCGTTTAGCAACTATACCAGTATAATAGACATGCGCATGTAAAACATACATACAAAGGATATACCTACAAATTTAAATATCTACAGTATCTACAGTTCAAACCAGTAATAATTGATAATTAACTGCAATGAGTATTTTCATAGCTTTTGCCAGGTTTTAGTAGAACAGGAAGTCCTAGTAAAATAGATAAGTATACCAATGGGTAGTAGTAAACACTTGTAAACCTTGTTATTAACCTTCTGATATATTAGCCCACTATTGGCTCATCGTTCTTGGATTCATTTTATATCTAAAATATTTTGGCTTGCATGTACTTAAATGATTTATTGAATAGCATTTTATATTGATTTCGAATCAGTCAATGTCATACGCAGTAGATACAAGGGTGTAATATATTATATAACATGTATGAATTCCTGATTGGGCACTTAAAGCGTTTAAAAATGCATGTTCTTTGGTATAAATAAATAACACCGATACTACAGCAAAAAATCGGGAACTCTCAAGCGTCAAAAATAAAACAGAAGGATAATGATCTAACCAATAAACAAACACCAAATATTTATCTCTCAATTAAAATTAGTTAGAATCAAATCGGTAGACATTAATCAACTAATTTTCATTATAATCATAATATACATTCATAAAACGATTGAGATTCACAAACTAAGACTTACAATTAACTGTGCGATCGAGACCAAGACTAAATGAGCAAGACAAAGACCAATAGTAAGACTTATTAGCATTCTAGCAAAATACAATTGTAAAGTAGAATGAAGTAACTCATTAAAAATTTTATGTAAACAAATATACACAAATTGCGGTATTATTAGAAATATTTAATGAGCTAATCTTCGCATTTCCTTAAAACTAGAACATCCTTAACTATTTGCAAACAGTAATCTAATGTAGGTCTATCGCTACTCCTACTCTCTAAACTCCTGTTTCTGCTTTTAATATGTCTCTGACTAGACCTTCATGCCTAAGAAGATGTCCTACCAATCTATCTCGTATATTTTTATTGAGTTCCATAGAGTATTAGTGTGTTAAAATTCCACCAACAACAAAATGTTCTAATTTTCCTACAAAATTTGTGTGTGAGTTCTACATAAAGTAAGGAAGTAGTTCAGATTTCGTTACATTTAGATTGAAGGTGTTTGATGTGTAGCATTGGTAATGGGTGACGAGAAGAAATTCGTGATTCGCTTTCGAAATTCAAAATTTATTTGCTTCGGTGAATTTCAAAAGCAAATCGCACGTCTCACTAAACCGTACAGCAGCTTCGTAAGTCCATCCATAAAACATGAGAAATTCGTATTACGATCAAAGTTGTACGTGTGCGTCTTTATTTGAATACGACGAAATATGTGTGACGATAGTTGTCTGTTGCCGATACAGTAAATTAGAAGTCACTTTTCATTTACGAACTGATGGACTTTATCAGGCGTTTGTGTTATATAAATTGATAAGTTCACGTCAGAATTAATTACCGTTGTAATTTAGAAACATTTAGCTCGTCAATATTCTATCTCAAAATTAATCATCAATCAAATCGAACCAAAAATCTACTAACAATTGTTTACAGACTAAAAAGCAGCAAGTCTCTTCTCAGGCAATTAATTTAGAAAGATTTTGCATTTTTCTGTCCTAATTGTGTTTGTAATAGCTCTGTGTACCAGTTTACAATTACGTAAAAAGAAATAGTCAAAACAAATATAATTTACGGTACATTTTTATGAAGAGTTGTTTCAAGAAAACGATTTGCCAATATTTTCGACGAGTGACGAATTGAGAACTGAACATAGGAATATTCTATTACATTAAATCATCCTTTGAAAAATGCGATGAAGTGTAGGAAAATTCGTACAAATGCCTTCAACCATCTTTTCGTATAAATAATAAAGTAATATGAGAGCGAGACAAAATTTTATGATAAATATTTGAGCGTATATTCTTTATTTACGTATCTAAAAGATATTATAATANGCAATTTCATTGCCACTTCGGAATTTCGTATACATTTCAATATATACTAGCGATGAATTGGGAACCGAACATAGGGATATTCTAGTCTTTTATTTATCTTTTGAAAAATATGAAGGTACAAAAATGCCTTCAATCATTCTTTCATATAAATAATAAAGTAATATGAGAGCGAGACAAAATTTTATGATAAATATTTGAGCGTATATTCTTTATTTACGTATCTAAAAGATATTATAATAACATTGTGGTTAGGTACGAATTTAATTTTGGTGCTCGGTGTCTTTATCTGCTGTATTTTACGTACCTACGAAGGTAAATTGAATTACTTAATAATTTTGCACATAAAGCGAAAATTCTGCCGGTTTATATTCAAAAGCTTTTTGTCGGGCTAAATAATACATAAACATGTACATCGTATGCTAATGGTTGTTTCATTATATTTTTAAATCACGCTCGTCGTTATTGTGTTGCTTGTCGTTGTCGGCGTCTCACGATCAGCGAGAGAGACCCGAGTTTGTGTGTGGTCAGGTGCGATAAAGCTCACGTAGCAAAACGGAGCTTTTGCCCGAGAGGGTATTTGGGTTGGTGAAAATCCTATGGGAGAAGTGAGAGCGGGATGCGGACGTGGACTACACCTCTCTGTAGTCTCGGAAATGAAATATGGGAACGGAATATTAAAATTTAAGCAATAGCTCCTTCGGTTTGCCGATTTATTAGACGGCGCCCTTTTAAATGACGGCATATTACAACATCTAAAGAAACATTCCCCACAAAAAACGACTCAGCTAGCTCGACCAGTAAGGTTGGAATGTAAAATTTGTTTTAGCAAATAACAAAGTTGTAGATATTATGAGAAGGGAGTTGTATCTATTAGAAAATTAAATTACTGTCAAAATAACATATAAAATGAACAAAAGAAAAGTATAGTAATAATGCATACCTAGTATGCTTTCAATTTATAGAAATAGAAAAAATTCTGACTTTTTTTGATTAAGAGTAAATCAAAGTTTTAGTGGAAATTAAGTATTCTATATCAAGTTTACCGTAAGCATTTCTGCAGTATACAAAAATTTTCCGCATGCGAGCTGTTGAAATGACGACGTTGTATGAACCCTAAGAATTTCTGAATAAAAAGCTAATGGCATTTTG